TCTGAAATTAAAAATATCAGTGCTGTTAATATCAAAGGACTAAAACCAGCACACAAGTAAACAAGATGGTAGCATGTAGCCATTAAGTCACTGGCCAATTGTCTTGCTTCCCAACTGCAGATCAAATATTGTGAAATCTAAATGAGTTATCCAAGAGAAGTCATGCTACTGTGACAGGGACAGGGATAGGGTATCATGGTCTTCAGTTACATCCCCAAACAATGGTGATCCAATTAGAAATGATCAATGGAGCAAGACTGAGGCTAAAGGGGTACAGCCATTGTTTGGTCACTGAGATTAGGATCAACACTGGGATTAGCAGCAGTATGGTACAATGGAAGGTGTGCTGGATTGGAAGCCAGAGGTCTGGAGTTCATTTCCACAATCTTTCAAAAGGCCCTTTCCACTTCTAGTTCTCTGATCCTATTACACAATCTTATGATCCTATGATGCCAGAGTTAGAACCAGGCAAATTGCAGTTCTTGCCACCAATTTGCTAACTGGCCTACAGCAATGCACTTCCCTTTTCTGTGACTCAGTTTCTGTTTTACATAAAAGGATTGCAGTGGGTGATCTTGAAAGTTCTTTCTGGCTCTAAACCATATTCTGTGGTTCTAAGGTAATCCAGAAGTGGATGTGCTGGCTTTGTCCCAGCTACAAAAATGACTCCTTGTACTTATTACTTTCCCCCTTTATTTGGGAAACTGTGCAAAGGATCTTCCACTGTCAACTATGCATCCAGCAGTCTTTATCTGGGAGAAAACATAGGATGGGTCATATAGCTCAGTTTCCCTAGTGAGTCACTGGCTCTCAACACCTCTGCAACTGATGTGTACCTGTCTTAATGAATGGCACTTAGGAAGACCATCTTTCTTACCACACCCAAGGCCCCAGTCTCTTTAAGTCCCATTATCCCCAGCATTTAATACTGTTTAATTTTTTTTTATTGAACATGTAGCAAGAGCAGGCAAAACAAGGTCATTTTTCATAGATTAACAGGAAACAGAGATCCTTGGTTGTGTTATCTCACTGACAGCACCTTCCCTTCCTCTCTCTCTTGTTCCTTCTTTCTTTCCCCTCCCTTCCCTTCCCCACAATGAGCAGGGGAAGACTACAGCAGAAAGATGACTACCACATTGATAAGATAGCTAGTCACTGAGCTTGGGGGAGGGGGCTAGTTTTTACTGGTATACTCATAAGCAGTTGCAAGAACCCACTGTTCCCCTCTCTTAACCCCAACCTCCCAATAATCTCCCATTGTTAAGTAACTGGTCCTGTCCCTTTCCTTCAGATCTAAACACAAATATAGAACTGACAAGGAAAAGGCTCCCTTGGAATTCCTGGAGAGTGTAATTCCTTCTCCAAACCCTTCCCAAGCGGGAACTTGCTGGCACTTGGACAAAAGTTGGGATGAGGGTGCCATTCAAGGGGCCAGGAGACTCACTCTTGGCAGAAATACTGTAGATGTTCCCTGGGCAGCAGCTGCAAAGATGCAGCCCCTGGTCAGCTTCAGCCAATCCAGGAAAGGCATCTCCTCCAAAGAGCTACATCTCTACAAGACCAGCTGAAGCCTGGCCAGACAGCTGTCAGGATGTGAAACGCAGACCCAGTGGTCTCAATGTATGTGTAGTTTTATGCCTTTGGTAGTAGCTATTGGGGGGGGGGAGTATCTACAGTTTGGGACATTTGAAAAAGAAAATAAAGATTTCATTTGATTCTATACATAGTGTAAGAACCCTAGGAAGAGATATCTTGGGTCTGGGGGAGAGGAAAGGGTATAAGGGTTGGAAAACAGCTCCTGGGATTCAGCATTCACTCATCAAAACATCTGTTCAGCACTTGGTTCTTGAAGAGCACTGACTCAAAGATGAAAAAGACTTGAAACTCCCACTCCCCACCCTCACCCACACAAAAACTCAGAGTTGTGGGTGTCATCCCAACTTGTTGTGCTCTAAAGACATCAGCAACCACTGGCACGTCGATTCCAAGGCAAACCAGATTGGAAGCAGGAGGTATTTCCAAGGAGGCCAAAGCCCATCCAACACCCTAAGCCCCGAGATACTCCCCTCCATCCCAGAAATAGGACAGGAGGGATAACCCTACTGCTCCCACCCTTTGCATCTGAACAACTATTATCACTGTGAAGGTAGTACTGAAGAATCTTCCTTTGTAGACCATCAACACAATGGAAGAAGGCAGGAGATGAGAGAGCATCGCACTTAGTGTCAGAAAACCTGGGTCCGTCTCTCAGCTCTGCTTCTTCTTAGCTGCTTGGACTTAGGCAAGTCACTTTACCTCTGAGCCTCAGTTTTTCCATTTGTAAAATGGAGACCGTTTGTTTGCACTACCTACCGCACAGGTTTGTTCTGAGAAAAGTGCTTTGTGTACCTTAAATCAACATGGAAAGGATGGTTATTATTATGAGAAGCAAAGGATTTCTAAATGCTGAGAAAGGACCTAAGGCAGGGTATGGCATTCATAGAAAATTATCTCCCACTGACTTCTGCTTTCACTTATTTGCTCCTAATTCAGTGGAGAGAAGGTAACAGGCCCCCACACTGAGGCACACCCCTAAATCTAGGGCCTAATGCAACTCTGTGCAATTGAAATTAGCTTCTCATTCCTTCCCAATAGCACATTAGTTCATCTGTGCAAGGCAATCTTCCCAGAAACAAACCATTCTATACTGTGGTTTGGGGATAGGTTACTAAGGAGATAGGACGTGGGGGCTTCCCCCCACAGGTCATCAAGGGAGTAGATGACTCGAGTGGAGCCAATAAAACATAAAACTCTAAGCTTGGAAATCTTATACTGTACTTTGAAGTCGAGAAGAAAGGGAGCAATTATATTAAGACAAATGCAGGAAAACAAAACAATTACAGAAGGATGGTCTCCTGTGCAGAGTAGAAACAGGTGAGGTGAAGAATCTGTTACATCCTAGAACTGCACAGGAGGAAGGATGCTCTGATTCCAGAAAACATCCCTAGGATGTGGAAGGCAAACTTGACAGAAGCATCCCTTTGGAGGTTCTGAATTCCCTGCTGCTCTAGCTCTGGCAGCTAAGTGGGGCCGTGGATAAAGCCCACGAGTCAAGAATATATACTGCCTTTATGTACTTATGGCCTGAGTTCAAATCCAGTCTCAGATGCTGAATAGGCTTTATGATCCTGAGCAAGTAATGTAATGTCTGCCTCAGTTTCCTCAACCGTAAAATGAGGGTTATAACAGTGCCTAATTCAAAGGGTGCTATATAAATGCTTATTCCCTTTTCCCTTCCCCCTTTCTGAGACAGCAAAGTAGAGTGAATGGAAAGACCATTGGTTGGGAAGTCAGGAGACTCCAGTTTCTTGTCCAGTTGGACCCTCAGCAGACACATGACCTTGGTCATCATTTCACCTCTTTGAGAATGTTGTTTCTTTATCAGCCCAATGAGAATAATCAAATGACAAAACCACAAAATACTAGACACTTTTTTTTTGTTTGTTTGGTTTTTGGTTTTTGGTTTGGACTTAAGATTTCATTAGTGTGGGAGAACCCTTCATGTCAAAACCCCCTCCTCTAATGCCAATCCTCAACTTGCCCAAGACCCTGAGGTCCCACCACTGATATGGGTTGGATGTCCCTCTGACTCTAAGGCGAGCCCTCTATTCACTATACCATGCCACCTCTAATACAAACAGAGTGTAGTGATTTTTATTACTCTTAATGGTGCTAATAACTCATTCTTCTCTACAAGTGATCTCCTGACCTAGAAATCTAGTCTCCTGAAATGAACTCATTCAGGTAGGTCCTATGCAGTCAACCACTGCCAGCTCTCGTGCCCATTTTGTGTTGTTCAGCTGTGTCTGACTCTCTGTGACCCCCTTTGGGGTTTTCTTGGCAAAGATACTGCCTTCTCCAGCTCATTTTACAGATGAGAAAACTGAGGCAGACAAGGTTAAATGACTTGCCTAGGGCCACACAGCTATTAAGTGTCTGAGGCCAGATTTGAACCCAAGCAGATGAGTCTTCCTGACTCCAGGGCCGGCGCTCTATCCATTTGCCCCCTAGCTGCCCTTTGTGCCCATTACAAATAAGCAAAAGTGAAACATAGGCACATCGGCTTATAAATTAGTCCCTTGTGAATTTGTTTAGAGCAAGTCAATCATCCAAAGCCTTGATCGCCCTGGGACATACTGGTAGACTCAAGTTTCTGAACTTTCAAAGATGTGGACTCAACCTGGGACTTCTAGTGACCCCACATAACGGGAAACCAATCCATGAAGTCTAACCCAAAAAAGCTACCCACTCATACCAGAAAATCCTAGAAGCCATCTAGGTCAGTTAATGAAAATATGGCATTGATGAAGACAGATAGCATGGGTTGGAGTTCTTTAAGGGTTGGTTAGCTTTGCTAGATACCTGACCATCTTGCCACATGTACTGTTATCACTTGGGGGACCAGGTAAGATGGTCAGTATATAATGGCTCAGCAAAATTCACTCTCATTATGGAGAAAGCCACTCCAAAGTATGTGCCCGCCCTGATGAAAATGGTAGCGGCATCTCCAGATACATATGATGCTCTAAAAAAAGTCCCATAAATCTTTACATACTGCCTTCCTGTAAAACGCTCTAAGGATTTAATAGAGGTCGTTGCTATCTTCTCCAGTCTTCCCACATTCTGCTGTATGATAGACACCTATGCCTCTCTAAAATCTCCATTCTCAGACTACCCCCAGCCTACAAGTGAAGATGTTATGCCCATCTGCAAGCCTACTGACTTAGAGGGCCAGGTTTTGGCCACCCATCTCTGCCCCTGTCCATGGTACCTCAAGGAAAAAGCATCAAAATCATCTCCTCAACTGCAGATAGAATTTGGTCTTTGTGAAGTGAATTTCTGGCATCCCTGACTTAGGATATGAATGAAAGTGAGGTAGTGGGTATCACTGGGTGGGTTATCAGTGGTGCAAGGAATGAACTTCCTACAGAAAAATTGTGACCCAAGTCAGTCCTGCCTACCTAGTCTTCTAGGTAGTTTCCTTGGAGGATGGGGAGCCTCTGGATGGTGTCTGGTCTTGCCCACCACTGCGATCCCTCCCTATAATCTTGCTGGTTTTGGGAGGCCTTGGATCAAGCCGGGCTTGTGTCGCAATCACCAGCAGGTCCTTCTTAGGCATCTGTTGGCTCTGAGGCCTTTGGAAGAGCAGTTGTAAGGTGGCGCCCTTCAGAGACCTCTTTTCTGTGCAGTTTTGGCTCCCACAGCCACAGTGCTGGGAGGCAGATTCTGGAAAGACAAAAATCAGCATCATCCTCAAACTGTGGATGGAGCAGGTACTGTCCAACACAAGCCCACAGAAGAATAGGATCCAGTGCTGAGGCCTCTAATCCAAGGGTTCTTAAATTAGGTCTTTAGCATTAAAATGTGTACACACACACACACACACACACACACATTTTACAATTGTGTTCAATGTAATTGGTTTCCACTATAATCCTATGGATTTTATTTTATGCATTTAAAAAACATTCTTCTGAGAAGGGGTCCATAGGCTTTACCAGACTGTCAAAGGGGTCTATAACATAAAAAAGGTGGGGAATCCTTCTAGACCAACCTTCTCACTTTACAAAGAAAAAAGTTCAAGACCACAGAAGGTCACAAAGTTGGTAAACGGTTGATCAGGGCTGCAGACTCAGGTCCTCCAACTCCTCTTGCTTAGCTATTCATCAGGCAGGGGGGATCCCTTGCCTCTAGAAAATCATGATCTCAAACAGCCCAAAGTCCAAAAAGTATCAGAGATTTCATGATCTGAAACCACCATTGATGCTACTTTCAGGAAGCCTCAGGCCATGCCCTCACTTTCACACCTGAGGCCCATTCGCAGCCTTTACCCAGAGCATGTTCAGCTGGTTGGGGAGGTCAGCTTTGAGCTTCCATTCTTATCTACTTGGTGTCCCCACCCAGGGAAACTGTTAGCTCCTTCAGAACTGAGTGAACCTGACCCACCCTGCCCTTTCCTCCAGGGAGGTGTGATAAGGCTCTATAGACAGGCTAACTCACTTTTTTGTTTGTTCAGCAACAGCTTTGGGTTGAAGCTGGTTGGGAAAGAGAATTGTGCCCCCAGGGGGATGCTGTTAATCAGCTCGGTCATTAGGAACTGCTTCTTGTCCTTGGAGCTGCTGAGGCTCCCGTTTTGTGGCTGGCCACACCATGGGCCTTGGGGCTTGGTGGAAGACGACGCTTTCTCTTGGCAGGAGTTCTGGGCAAACTTCTGTGACTTGTAGAAGACTTGGGTGGGATTGTCTACCTCCAAGTGGATGCAATGAGTTGACATAGGTCTGGGGGATGTGCTCAGAGTTGGCAATGGCTCTGAGGACCGTAGGGGATAGTCACTGGCCGTAGAGGAGGTTTCCACCAAAGCAAGAAGCTAAAAGAAAAGGAGGGCAAACCTCAGTTGGGAAAAGCCAAAACAGCCTCTCCCTACAGGTCCTTGGGACGAAAAGAAAGATGAGAAGTTGGTTTAATGGGTGATGGGAAGGACTTAGAAGAATTTTCTTGACTATAAGTGGGGGGACATTAGAACAGACCGACTATGATTACAGTGACTCTTTCTCTGGAGGGTTTTTTTTTTCTGAAAGTCTGTAAATAATTGGCTTCATCTGCCTGGGTAGGATCCTACCTAAGAACAGTACTTATAATGATAGAGATAACAGCTAGCATTTATCTCAGTTGAACCTCATAACAACCTTGTGAGGTAGATGCTTAAAAATGGGAAAACTGAGACAGAGCGAGCTTAAAGTGACTTACCCAAGATCATGCAGCAAGTAAGTGTGGTTTTGATCACACATTACCCACAAAGTAAGGCAGGTTTTGAACTCAGGTCTTCCAGACCCCCAAGTCTAGTGATCTACCCACTGCCAAACACCTAGCTGCCTCAACAAGGACAAGGAGGTGGGTAAGTCATGGCCAAGCCTATGACTCTGATCCTACCCACCCACCACATATAAGCATAGGTTTTCAAAGCACTTTACAAATACTATCTCCTTTAATCCTCACAAGCTTCACAAGTAGGGTCAATGGTGCTACTATCCCCATTTTACAGGTGAGAAAATGGAGGCTGAGAGAGATTATAGTAACTTGCTCAGGGCAATAAAGCTAGCCAGCATCTGAGGCAGAATTCAAACTCGGGTCTCCCTGACACCAAATCCAGCATTCCATCTATTACACCACCTATTTGTTTGACTAGGTATCTCATCTACTATGCCATTCCACTACCTGAGTTTTAAAACTAGGGAGGGAACATTTTGCAAAAGAGCAAGCATTGGCATGGAGGACCTGGATTCAAATCCCACTTCTGATGCTTATTATCTATCAGCCTCCCTGGGCCTCAGTTTCCTCAACTGTAAAATGAAGCTGAACCAGATAGATTCTGAGGTCTCTTCCAGGTCTAGATATTTATATCCTATAAACAGATCCTAGATTTAGGATGCTTTGAAACTAAGACCTGAAGCAGTTACGTGAATGTCACAATATCACACAGTAAGAAAGATGGAATAAAAACCGGAGTCCAGGGCACTTGACCACTGGTCCAGTAGTCTCTTCCCTTGGCTCGGTCTCGGGCTCTGGCAGCTTCAGCATTAGGATCTGGGCTCATATATTTAGAACTGGAAGGGATTCTTGGGGTCATCTAGTCTTAACCTCCTCCTGAGTCCAAGAGAGATTAAATCACTTGCCCAGGCTCACCCAAGGTAGAGGTATAAGTAGTCATTTTTGTACCTAGAACAAATAACAGAAAAGGTGAAGGGAGAGGTATACTTGGGGTGCGGACACTATGGGGAAGAAGTTTTCCCTGGGATGGTGCCATAGGCATCCTCTAACTATCCCACCCTGGACAAAACCCTAGTGGTGCTATCCTGGTTAAGGATCTGCATAGAGATAGTGGCAGAACCAGGATTTGAAGCTAGGTCCTGTGACTCCAAATATTAACAATAATTATTATTACACAGAGCTTTCAGGTTTGCAAAGCATTTTTAATCTCATTTTATCCTTACAACAACTTTAGGAGGTAAGTACTATTATCTCCATTTACAGATGAAGACACTGAGACAGAAGTTAAGTGACTTATCCAAAGTCACTGAGACAGTAAAATACCTGAGGCTACACCTGAAGTCATCCTGACTCCAGTATTCTCTCCACTGTTCCACCTAGCTACCCCCAGCACCTTTCTACTACATAGCGCCATTGGCTTCCATCCCAGAACCACTCAAGAGCATGCTCACATCAGAGAATGACTTGGACCCTTCAGCATTTGCAGAGATGGGTTTCCAGGGCTCCTGCTTTTCTGTGCTAGTGAAGAGTGTCTTCCTGAGGTCTGGCACAGAGCTATAGTGACACACACCAGCTTTCTCTGGAAAGGTGGCATTGGCCTCCAGCTTGGGAGTCTCCTCATAGGAGTTGAAGGGTTCTGTGCATTGCAGAGACTCATTTTCATTTTCCTTTGGCTTCAGCTTTGACTTTGAGACCAAGGTGGATGAACAGGGCAGCAACATGGAGGAATTGGAGAGCTGGGAAGGAGCAAACCAAATATATGCATGGTACTTGTTGAATCCACCTCTTATCCCTGTTAGAGTCATTTGCATAGGAGGGTGGTGAGGTCATGGGGTGCTGGGGAGAAGGGCCCATTATAAAAGCCTCTTTCGTTTCTTACCATCCCTAGGGTTTTGAGATGGTAGGCAAAATGAAAAATGAGCTGGGTCTTTGCACTCATGTACAAAGGGGGTGATGTAATGTAAAAGGGGGATGATAAAGTGGGATTTGGAAAGGAAGCTCAAGACTTAGGAGAGACAAGGTAAGACTAGGGGGGCCGGGGGGGGGGGGAATGCCATGCTTTTTCCAGATGGGGGCCAAAAGAAACAGCAGCAGACGGTCATCCCTAAATTATGTCCTTTAGGAAATCACCAGAGTCCCTTGAAATTTCCACATCCCAGAAGTTTTGCCCAGTTGTCTGGCAACAGGATAATTTGCTGGTTCTAATAGAGAGAAATCACCCTCTCCTAGAGGGGGAACTAGGAGTGTGGAGTAAATGCATCTTGGAACCACCTCCTCCCACAACCCCATGACTTTTTTTTGTTTTGTTTTGGAGGGGTGGGTGGCAGCACAGTCCTGTGGCCTTTCTAGACACCTTATTGAAGGCAGAAAGGAAAATGTACAAGACAGGACCTGTGCAGCACTCTTTACTGTTTAGCCAGGCAGAGGTCTGAAAAGGACAAGGGGGAATCCTGTGTCTCTCCATCCACCCCTCCACTCCCATTGCGGTTCCCAGCCCTCTTCTCAGCCCAACACTTTCATTGTGCTTGGGCACTGGCTTGTGGTCTTCTTGATCAGCCCCTCCACCCCCAAAGGCAGGGCAGGGAGGTGTACTGGATATTTCTGCTTTTCCCGACCATTGGCATTTACTTGTCTGGCACTGTACACGGATGCTCTTTGTTTTGTCTCCTTTGGGACAGAGACCCTGGTCCCATCGCCTGCTGATTCACCCTGAAGTTCATTCTTCTTTTCCTTAAGACATAATACTTTCTTCTCCTGCTTCAGCCTTAATTCCTGGATCTGCTGCCTGGTCAATTCAATTCAATTCAACAAATGTGTTACAACACTAACACAGCACTGTGCTAGTTGCTGGGGAAAATACAAAGTTTAGATAAGACAAGGGGGCCTGACCTCATAAAGCTGGCAGTCTAGGGAAGGATAAGATACTAATAAGGATAAATAAATAAAAGGATACTAAAAAGGATAAGATATCAATATAGAAAATAATAAACAATAATTTATGCCAAGTACCAGAGCCATAACTAGGCGTTCTGACACTTGGACTAAATTAAGTCATGGGAGTGAAGGGCAGGATGGGAGGCAGTGGTCCAGGGAGGCCCCAGGACAGACAATCCAATCGTACAAGCAGTCATACTCAGACAGGGTACGACCCATTCTCACCCCTCCTTCTTCCCCAACCTCTGCTAGTCCTTGACCCCTTCTGTCTTTCCAGATACTGCTTTAGGGGCACTAGACAAACAGAAGATAGAATCTGGACAAACATAGGAAAGAAGCACCCCATAACCACCATGGTGTCTGCCTGGGACAAATTCCCAGTGACCTCGTCCTAGTTCACGAAAGACGTACAAAGGACAATGTTATTTGAGGTCCAAGGGAAGGTTATTCCTGACTAGATGGGTTGAAATGCTGGGCGAAAGGGAGAAAGTGGGAGGAATGACCATGGTGCAGGGACCAATAATTAAACAGGTATTATCATGGAGGGTGGGGAGGGATGATGATACTTGAGTTGGACTTTAAAGGGTAAAAGGCTAAGAGGAAAAGGGAGTACAGTACAGGCGTAGGGAACAATTTTTTTTTAAAAAAAGGAAGTATAGGACATGCTCAAGAGACAGAAAGTAGTCTAGCTTGTCTGGAATGTAGAGTGGATGGGAGTGTGTGTAGTAACATAAAATGAGTCTGGAAAGGCAGGGTGGCACCATATAAGATCAAAGATGGCCTTGGATACCAGGCAAAGGATTCTTATCTTACTTGATGACATAGTACTTGACAAGAGGTGTTCCGAGTGGAGGGGTGATATGACCAGATGTATACATAAAGAGCAATCTGGAAACAATATAAAGATTGGATTGCCGAGGAATCACTTCTCTTAGTGTTTGTTGAGGGCACCATCATCCTTCCCAGTCACCCAGGTTCTCAAATATTTTTTTTCCTTTATTTTGGGTGAGGCAACCATAGTTAAGTGACTTGCCCAGGGTCACACAGCTAGTAAATGTCAAGTGTCTGAGGCCAGATTTGAACTCACGCCCTCCTGACTCCAAGGCAGGAGCTCTATCCACTTCACCACCTAGCTGTCCTTCCCCCCCCCCAACCAGGTTCTCAATCTTTAAATCATACTTGACTCACTGGCTACCTTCAAGTCACAGCTAAAATCTTACCTTCCACAGGAATCTCTTCCTGATCACCCTTAATTCCAGTGCCTTTCCTTTGTTAATTATTTCCGGTACATGGTTTATTTTTACATATTTGTTTCCTTGTTGTCTCATCAGATTGGGCTGTCTTTTGCCTTTCTTTGTATCCCCAGTGCTTAAATAGTGCTCGGCACACAAACTCTTACCTTTCTCTCATTCCCTATATCCAAACAGTAACTAAAAGGGGTGATGTCTTCCACCATAGCACCTTAAGCTTCTGCGCTTGTTTTCCTGCCCACACAGCCTCTGCCCTAACTTAAGCCCTTGTCATAGTGTATTGCAAGAGGGTGAAAGGGGTGTATAACAGGTGCATAGTCATGTAAATACAAAGCAGAGATCAGAAAAGGACCTGAGATAATATTAGTGCCTTCCCTCCTGGATTAACTCCAGCTTCTCCTGTCTATAGCTTGTTTATAATGTCATCTCCCCCGTTAGTCTTCTGAGCTCCCAAAGAGCCTGGACTACTTTGGTGCCTTTCTTCATATCAACATCTCTTACCATAGTGCCTGGCCCAGAGCTGGGGCTTAATAAAAGTGTGCTGATTTGACTTAGGAAATTCTTAGGTGATGAAAGTTCCCTCTACCAAGGCAGACAGATGCCTTCTTTCGAATTTATAATCTTAAAAGTTGCCTATAAAATCAAGAGGTTACGTGACTTGCCCAGGGTGACACAGCCAGTGTGAATCAAGGGATGCTTTTGAACCCGGGTCTTCTTGGCTCCTTGGCCTGCTCTCTACCCACTATGCCAGGGTTGCCTCAATAATAAGAGCTATCATTCATATAGAGTTCTAAGTTTTCTAAAGATCTTTCTGCCTGTTATCTCACTTAATTTTCACAACCACCCTGTGAGATAGGTGTTACTGTTATCCCTATTTTACAGGTGAGGAAAATGAGGCCAAGAGGAATGAAGTGACTTGTCCAAGATTACACAGCTCTAAATGGCCAAGGCTGGATTTGAACCCAGGTCTTCCTAACTTCAAGTCCAGCACTCGTGTCTACTACGACACCTAGCTGCAAAAGTAATACAAAACAATAAAAAATTTCAAAAGGAAGAGAACATTAACAATTTGGGGGGTGGGCAAAAATTAGGAGAGTTTTGGACCACTGCAATGGTCTCTCTACTTCCAGTCTCTCCTCTCACCAGTATTTCCTCCACACAGCTGCCAAGCTGATAGTCCTAAAATAAAAATCTGACCATGCCACATCTCCATCTCTCCATCCTCTACTCCAAAGTACCTCTAAGGATAAAGTACAAAATGAGAATTTGGGGGATGTAAAGCCCTCCATGATCTGGCTTTCACCTACCTTTCCAGTCTCATTAGGTTTTACTCCCCTTCACATAAGTCTGTGGCAGTCAAACTGGCCATGTCTTCCAGCAGGTCATTCCCCCTGGAACATCTTCCCTTCTTACCTCTGCCTCAGGGAATCACTGGCTTCCTTCAAATCACCTCCTAGAGAAGACCTTCTCTGACCTTCCCACTTGTCAAGTTCTGGCCCTCTCAAAGGTACTTCACATTACTTCCAAGATATTTGGTACTTGTTTGTATAATCCCTCTTATAGAGTGGAACCTGCTTGAGGGCAGGTACTTTTGTTTTTGTTCTGGTATCCAAAAGTGTTTGTTTAATGAACATTTGTTGAAATGAATAGGGGAAGTTCTATTGGGAGGTTTATTGTAACAGGCCTACTTGGGACAAGGGTATGAAGAATGATAAAAGACAGTAGGGAAGGGATGAACCCTTGTAGAGTTACATTCCACCAGACTCAGTAACTTACTGGACAGGAAACATAAAGGAGGGAGAAAAAAATCCCTAAACTGATAGACAATAGTAAATAGAACAGGGGTGGGGAACTGTGGCCTTGAGGCCACATGTGGCCTTCTAGGTCCTCAAGCGCAGCCCTTTGCTCACAAATGTTCTGCAAAGTTTGGATTTGGTCAAAGGGCCACACTTGAGGGCCTAGAAGGCCACATGTGGCCTTGAGGCTGCAGGTTCCTCACCCCTGAAATAGAATATAGAAATAGCATAAGATTGAGGAAGAAAAATAATGAGCTCAGTTATGGTCATTTTTAATTTAAGGTGCTGGGAAACCATTCAAGTAGAAATGTCCTAGAGAAATGTCTCATGCTTCTCAGATCCAAGTAAGAATATCCTGAGTAGCTCAAGATTTGAGTTTGTTGGGTCAGTCAACAGACATTTATTAAAGGCTTACCATATGCTAAGCATGGGGATGCAAAGAAAGGCAGCGATAAATACAATCCCTGCCCTCAAGGAGCCTCTATTGTAAGGGGGGGGGGGGGCTGGGGGGGGTGCAAATCACTATGTACACATGAGACACATATACACAGCATAAATGAAAGGTAATATCAGAAGGAAACGGAAGAGAGATCAGGAAAGGCCTCCTCTAGAAGCAAGGTTTAGCGCTGAATCTAAAAGAAGCCAGAGAAGTGAGTTGGAGTTCAGAAAAGACCTGAGGGCAGGCGATATCAATTTGGGAGGCATCTGCATTTAAGTGGGAGTTGAATCCATGGAAATGAATGCAATTACTAAAGAAGAGAAGAGGAAGAGAAAGGAAAGGAGAGGAGAGGAGAAGAAAGGAGAGGGAAAGGAAGAGAAGGGGAAGAGAAGAGAAAAAGAAAAAAAAAGACGAGTGGACAAAGAATAGACCCTTGAGTAATAACATTACAAAGACATAAGGAAGAAAAATAAGGCATGGTTAGAAAACTAAGAAAATGGAAGAGTTTGGCATCTTTCAGGTTGACAGAGAATGGATATGTGGAAGGAAAATGTAATCAGCAGGGTTAAAAGCTACAAAGAAGTCTGAGAGGAAGGGGCCTGAAAAAAAGTCCACTGGATTTGGTGATCACTGGATATCAGATCAAGAGAGCAGTTTCAAAAGGGTGAAGTTAGGGTGGGGTACAGAGTGGAAAGGACTGAGGAAGGGGAAACATTTGCAAAGCTATAGGACAGTAGCTGGCTAGAATAGAGTAGATGAATTAAGTAGAGGCTTTTTTTTTTAATTTAGAATTTAGGAGATGAGGATATCGATAAGTACACACGGGAAGGAGCCAATGAAGAGGAGAAGATTGAAGGACATGTGGGCAAACCTCTCAACCTCTTAGTGCCCCACACAACTAACTCTCTAACACTATACATTTCAGAACAGTTGCTGATCTTCCTTAAAAGAAATTCCCCACCAGGGACTCCTTACATCAGTAAAATCACAGATCTGAACCCAAAAACCAAAAAGGGGATGGGAAAGGGAGGTGAGAAAAACTACTGGAGTGAATAGGAGATAATGAAACCGAGGGTACAGGTAGAAAGACTGGTGAACGATTCACCAGAAGGTGAATGAGGATGCTAGAAGTATTGAGTACTAAAGGAGAGGACTAAAGAAACCCTTGTTTGCTTGAGCTTCCTTACTCTTGGAGGAGGATAGATAACGACAACTGGGCTTGGTGGGTGACAACTAGTAGGGGGTGGAGAGGGCCTTGGCCCAGGGGCCCTCCAACTCAAGATGGGTTTTAACCTGGAAGGGGGAAAGGGGAACCTAGTTTTCTACAAGTTTTCACCCCTCTCTTCCCAAAGCAGCCCCATCCTCAACAGCTGGTTCTAAGGTAATCAGTATTGAAACCTAGGAATCTAATAGCAGGAAACAGGAGTTATTCATTCTCCCTCAACCCCCTCATCCCCAACTTCAGATCACATACACATACAGACATATACACACATAATTTCTAATTCTAGGAATAATATCTCTAGGGGAAAACAAGAAATAGGAAACCATTCCCTTCTGCCAAACTCATACCCCAGTATGGTTACTGAGGAATGCAAACTAGAGAGACCGGGCCTCTTTTTCCAAGCTGCTTCACATCCCATACCTTTCTGGTCCCTTGATTCTGGAGAAGACAATTACGAGGAACCCAGAGACAAAGATGTCCAGCAGCAGACACTCCTGTCTGTTTGTAAGAGAATACATTGATCCAGAACTAAGTCTGCAATGTTATCCATCGGGGTTAAATGAGTGTCCACAAACAAGAATCCACCTATCTGACAATTTGAGACTTCATACTTTTCAATCTTTCTGGGAGGCCTATGGGATAAGGTGATAAGTATTCTTCTAGCAACTACGGCCAGGCCAGGCCTCCTAAGGCCAAGGAATAGAGTATGGTCACCACACACACTGGTGGCAGTCCTAGAGCCAAACCCCACTGCCTTGCCCCCGCCCCCCCTTAGATGACCCTGGCTTTCCTTTCCATACCGGGCGTGCACTTCCCGGGCTCTGGAGGTCACTGTGTTTTGAAAGAGTGAATTGCTGTGATGAAAATATTTCTGATACTTTTCAGACCCACACTCAGGATAAATCCTCCGGAAGCCGCCACTTTTTTCCTTCTCATAACGTTCTATTTTCTCCAGCCATGCAGCCTGGTAATTCTTTAATTCCTCAACCCTGCAAGAAGCAGAGATGTGAGGTTGCAACAATTTTTCTTAGAATGAGACTCAGGGGGTTGGGGTGCTAGGAGGACTACAGGAAGTTGCCTCATCCAGTTTCCCCACCCCTAAGCCAGTCCTCACTTACGCTCCCTTATTGCCAGTGGAGACATTCTCTCAGATGCAGTAAGACAGAAAGAGCTTAAGGTGTTTCAAACCTTCCTTGGTTTAGTTCTGAGGAGATGAGGAATTACCCCCCTTCCAAAGAGGAAGATGCACTCCAAGGAAGGGTTTGTGCTTTCCTGAATTCAAGGAACTCTCTCCAAGGAGCCTGGCATGCTTTTATGGACACAATATTCTGCTTCCTCAGAGTCTCCCTGGGAGGGTAAAGGTCAGAAGAAGGGGAATGAAAGAACTGAAATTCAAAAGCCTTAGGTGCCCCCAGCTCAGTGTATGACCTTGAACAAGTCACCAGCCCTCAGTTTCCTCCCTCGTCTGCAAATTGAGAGGGTTGGGCAAGATCTGTTTTTGTTTTTTGCTAGGCAAGGGGGTTAAGTGACCTGCCCAGGGTCACACAGTAAGTGTCAAGTGTCTAAGGCCAGATTTGAACTCAGGTCCTCCTGACTCCAAGGTTGGTGTTCTATCCACTGCACCACCTAGCTGCCCCTGGACAAGAAGATCTTTAAAAGTCACTTCAAGCTCTAAAACTGTGATTTTTTTTTCTTTATTAGAAGTCTCCTTTCAAAGAAGCAAAGTCAAGACCTAATGGCATATCCAGCGATGTTGCTGAATATGCAACCAGACCAGAGACAAAATCTAGGTTTTCTGATGTCTACCTGTCCCCCTATGCCACCACCAATTCTTTTTTTTTTTTTGAGGCAATCAGGGTTAAGTGACTTGCCCAGGGTCACACAGCTAGTAAGTGTCAAGTGCCTGAGGCCAGATTTGAACTCAGGTTCTTGTGATTGCAGGGCTGGTGCCCTATCCACTGTGCTACCTAGCTGCCCCCCATCTTCTTGCCTCCCACCCCCAAATTCTAAAAAGGTCTCCCTTTCAAGGAGTTACAAGTCTGCAATGCGACATTTCAGGGCTACCCAACGTAATCATTTGAGGGGCACTGAAAGGCCCTTCCCTCTCCCCAAAGTACATCCTACACCCATCTGAAATTCCTATGATGGGATTAAGGAACTGTAAATCCAGAAGACCTGATTACAACACATCAAAATGTTACCTGGGAGGAGTAACAATAAGACATAAGCACTAATAGGGGTCAATTTATCAGGTTCACTAGACCTGTAATTTCAGAGGACAGAAAGGAAAGCCATGAGGGAATGTGAACATGATGGACCAAGCCTTAAGTAGGGGGAGTGAATGGGGCAGGAATGAAAAAGTCTAGCTTCAATGGTGGCTGCTGTCCAGAGTGAGGTCCAGAAGTGGGCAGTGCTAGGACTCTTGGGCACAGAAAGAGGGCGGAACAGATGCCTAGGAAAGCAGGAAAAGGGATCAGGAGGGGAGAGTAGGGGAAGGAGCACTGAGGTTATATTGCCCTTCCTTGTCCTGAGGGCACACCTGATCTCCCTGGAACGGATATCCTGCAGAAATTTTGCCCGGCACCTCGCTTCCTCTAGGACTTTCTTCTTGTCACAGGCTCCCAGGTTGATCAGGACCAAGGTGTCGTACAGCAGACTGTCTTTGACTTCTTTGTCTAACCGGGAGTCAGTGGAGAAGCTTGGAGAGTGATTAACCTGAGAGAGCAAGATGGCAGCTTAGGGGTTAGGTTTACCAGACTAGAAAGGGGAACAATTACTAAAAGTAGAAATTAATGGGACCCTCTCTGTCCCCTCCGAGTGATCCACCAATGATAACTCACTTTTTTTTTTTAAAGACTGGGTCCCCGCCACCACAACCATATTACCTCAGCTGGAAGTACTAGGGTTAGTCATGGGCCAATTGCACTATTGATGAGCACTGGAGCTTTGACCTTCTCAGTTTCTGTCCCGGGCAGGTTCACTGGTCCTTAGGCAACCTGGTGGACAAGTTCCTCCCACCTCCTCTTGGGAGCTAGCCATAGTTAGCGCAGACATCCAATCAGCTTCAGTGTTACAGCAGCTCAGAACTCCCAAGCTCAAGAGATTTGGCAGCCTTCACCTTTCCCAGTAGCTGGGATTACAGGTGTATGCAACCACACTGGGCAATAACTCACTTTTACACAGCACTTTAAGGCTTATAAAGTACTTTCCCCACAGAGACAGGTAGCACCATTTTAGAGATGGGGAAAGTGAGGTTCAGAAAAGTTAACTGACTTGCCCGTGGTCATACAATCTATTAACTGTGAAAACTGGGATTCAGACCCAGGCCTCTCCTAACTCTAAGTCTAGAACTCCTTCCCATTAAACCACACTCCCTTTCACCAAGGATTATCCTGGGATCTTGCAGCAGAAGCTACTGAAGGGCAAGGGGGGGAGAGGGGCACATGAGTGTGAAGTACGAGAAGAGCTCCCCCTGAGCAAGAGGGGAACATGGAAGAGACAACCTTCTCACCTGGAGGGGAGGTTTTAATTTTGCTTCACTGCATCTGAGTGGATGAAAAGGAGTTGTGGAATGCCCTCTAATTTAACTCACTTTCTCTCTGCTTCAGATCGTTTTTGAGGGTGCGTGTATATAGACGAAGGATTAGTAGTAAGAATCCCTTGTGGGCATTCATGTAGTGCTTACTATATACCAGGCACTGTGTGAAGTGCTTTATCTCATTTGATCCTCACAATAACTCTGGGAGTTAAGTGCTATATTATCCCTATTTTACAGATGGGGAAACTGAGGCACAGTGGTTAAGTGACTTGGCCAGGGTCATTCTGGTAATAATTGTCTGGGGGCAAGATCTGAACTCAGATCTTCCTCATTCCAGGCCCAGCATTGAATCCACTATGCCACCTAGGTAGGGGATGTATGTACGTATGTATTGGGTGGGTGGTGGGTGCGGAGGTCAGGAAGTACACAAAAAGGAAGAGAATAGGGAAGAGAATCATCCCAATTCTCATTCTCCTAGTCTCCCTTCTCAAGCCAACCCTAAAAAGAACTGACCTGAGAGGAAAGCTGCTGTATCTGATGCCAGTGATCTATCATCACCCCCCTTCCCCAAAAAAGCAATAGGACTATTTTCAAAAGAATAGCAAATTTTAAAAAAAGCAATAGGATTGAGTATTTTCAAAAGAATAACAAAATTTTAAAAAGCAATAAGACTGAGTATTTTCAAAAGAATAGCAAATAAAGGACTATGGGAAAGAAGAGATGGGCCATGAAAATAGAAAGGGAAAGGAGACAAAACAGCTTTCTCTCTTTTTTTCCTGTCTTTGCCTGATCTAGGACACTATTACCTTTAGCCCTAATCAAGGATATCCCTTCCCCAGGAGCCTCCTTTGTGCCAAGAGGTGGGGTTGCCTCTGAGACTCCAGTTTTTTTACAAGCCAGGAACTGGGTTTGAATTTCCAGGTCAGGGTGGACGTGAGAAACTCTGTAACTCCCTGAAGTCTATCCCCCTCTGCTGGTCACTTCCTAGCCAAGCGGGCTTAGCACTGAGGGATAAAGAAAGATATTAGGGAGCTTGGGAGAACAACCCAAGTGAAAAACAGGGGAAACTCCAGGGATGATCGGTGGCCTGAATAAAAAGAAGGCAAGGAACACATACGCCCCTCTCCATCTCTTACCTAGGCACTTATTTAAAATGTTGAATTGGATTACCTCCAGAAGCCAGGGTTTAAGTTTTCTGTCCAGCAGAATATCAAAGCCCAAAATTTCAAAGCAGGCACTATTCATGATGTGGTTGGGGAAGCAGGTATGATAGTTGTGCTTAATTATAGGGTGAGCAGTAATCAAGGTCTTGATGATTATATCTTCAATATCTCGCCACATCTTCACAGTGTCACAGCCAAGTTTGTCCATGTGGGCATTGAAGGTGGAGAGCTTCCTACAAAAGCAATTAAATTAAAATATTTCAAAGGGAGAGAGGATAACCTGCTGGTCTCCTGAGATTTTCAGTGCTGTGTGGAGATCAAAAGGTGTTGGAAACTGGAAAACAAAAGCACTCTAGGAGAAGACACATTTCTGAGCCCAGGCACACGGTGGTTCTTGCCTATTGTCCCTATTACATCAGGGAAGCTGCAACTGGTGGATTGCTTGAATTCAGGAGTTCTGGGCTACCATAGAGGGAAAGCCAATCAGGTGTCCACTCTAAGTCTGGCACCAATATGGTGAACCCCAGAATGTGTGTGTTGGGGGGGTGCAGCAGGCTGCCTAAAGAGGGGCAAACTAGCCCAGATCAGAAAGCTATGAGTACCACTGCAATTGCAGCTTGGGGGAGATGGAGAAAGCCAGTTTCCCCCCCCTCACTCCACCTCACCCTCCCACCCCACCCCCGTCAAAAAAAAAATCATTGGAGTCTTCAGAATTTAGATTTAAAGCTGGAAGGGACCACCGAAGAGATCTAGTCTAATCCCCTCCTTTTATTGATGATGAACCTAAGATTTAACTCACCCCAGGTTAATACAGTTAATAAGGGACAAAGCCATCTGGGTTCAAATCCAGTGTTCTTTCCATTTTATTATACTGTCCAGTGGCTATACTGAGAAAGGTGCTGTAGAAGATGAACTGCAAAGACCAGGGATGTGGGCAGGGCACAGATCAGATATCACAGGACTGAGCAGCTCTTGACCCAGAAATCACAGGTCAGAGTTCAGAATGAAAAGTCACAAAATAAAATTAGAAAAATTGTACTGGATTAGAGGGGAAGGAGGCAAATGTGCTGAGAATATTCATTCCCCTGTTACTATTCCTTCTTCCTCAAAATAACTACTGAGCTACATTTTTTCTTTTGTTTTGTTTTTTCTTTCTTGTGGTTCCTCCTATTGGTTCTAATTCTTCTTTACAACCTGACCAATGTGAAAATGTGTTTAATAGGAATGTATATGTAGAGCCTGTATCAGATTACATGCCATCTCGGGGAGTGAGGTGGGGAGGGAGGGGGAGAAAATTTAAACTCAAAAGCTTATGGAAGTGATTGTTGAAAATTAAAAATAAATTTATTAATTAAAAAAAACTACTGGGCTAGAAAAAAAGAAGTCAGAGTTCTAATGGCGATAACAAAAGTAAGCTAAAACTACTGTAATAATCAAGGCCCAGGGAATAGTATATTGATTAATTTTAGGATTACCCAGGCAGATAAAGGTTTATTACTCTTTATTAAGGGATTCCCAGGTCCCCTCACAGGGGCATTAAAATCACAGGACCCCAAATCTAAAAGCAAGCAAAAAAAAAAAGCACCTAAAAGCATCAGAAATAATTGTCCAAAAGCCCCCAGAAGTAAAAGCAGGTACTTAATTTCATCCAGAAGCCCTTAGGCTATCATTCAGAGCTAACTGATTCTTATTTAACAAAGAATTCTTAATGAAATCAATTCTAATCTCCTCACAAAAGATTAGAAGCAGCAAACTAGTAATAGAGTGGGAAGGTGGCTACAGGCAGGCCCACTGAGAGCAGTGAAATTGACAGCTGATAATCTGTCAGATCAAATGTGATAAGGACAAGTTCTTTGGCAGTTTTAAAGGGCTATATAAGTGCTATTGTTATACTATTACAGACTGTGACCAAGGAGACACAAAAACTAAAAAAGACAGAAGTCAGCTGTACCGTATATTACAGAAGAACATAATAACGTTTTTAATACTGACCTCTAGTCATTAGGAAAGGGGTAAATTTTGTCCAATACCATCTGATCTTTCCTCTCTTTCTCAGTCAAACTCCTCTATTCTAAACTCTCTCCAATCTGGCTTCCTACTTGATAATGTTCTCCAGGAGGTAGCTGGGTGGCCCAAGAAGTAAGGGATTATTAGACCTGAGTCAGGAATATCTGAGTTCAAAGCATGTCTTAGGCACTGACTAGCTGTGTGACGCTGGACAAGTCACTTAAACTTCATTGTCTGTTTCTTCAAGCTGTAATATGACAGGGTTGGACATGATGTAATATAATTTAGAACAAATGAAGCAATCGGCATCTGAACCTGATGACTGTCAAGGGCAAAGAAGGAAGGAGAAAAAGGAAAAGGAGAGAGGAAAGAAAAGGAAGGAGGAAAGAAGAGAAAGAACAGAGAAAAACAAGAAGGGAAGGATGAGTCCAAACTCTTTCAGGCAGGGACTGTCTTAAAATATCTTGTATCCCCTACAGTACCTAGCAAAGTTCTGGGCACATACTAGGTATTTAGTAAATGTTTGTTAAATTGAATTGGAAAAACACACACACATATAAGAAGGCATGAAAGGAGGGGAAGGAAAGAAGAGGAAAAAAGGAGGGAGGGTGAAAAGAGGTGGCACACTGGGCTTTGAGTCAGCCTGTGACACTTCCTAGCTGTGAATAAAATGAGGGCGTTGGACTCAATGACCTCCAAGGTTTTTTTCAGCTCTAAAAACCTATGATCCCATGATCCTAAGGGTAAGGTAAAATGGCTCACACAAAAGTAGGAATGAAGTAAGCTGTAGGAAAGGGAAAGCATATATAGAATAAAGATGAAAAAAGTGGAATGATAGAAAGAAGGGGGAAAGAATGATAAGAGAAGAGGGGGAAAGGAGGGAGAAGAAGGGAGTTAGAAATTAATTAAGACACATTTATTGAATGTTTACACTGAGCAAAGCACTTTGCTAGGTACTGCTGGGGATAAAAAAAAAAGACAAATGAGAAATGGTCCTTGAACTATACAAATACAGTGTAGGCACTGTGCTGAACACTTTACAAATAGTATCTAAATTGAGCCTCACAGAACTCTGTGAGGTAGGTGCTGTTATTATCCCCATTTTATAGTTAAGAAAACTAAGACAGACAGAGGTTAAGTTACTTGCCCAGGGTCCCACAGCTAGGAAGTGTGTGAGGCTGGATTTGAACTCAGAAATTCCTGACTCCAGGCTTGGAGCTCTATTCACTATACCACCCACCTGCCTCAATGCCTAACATAATAGGTGCTTTAAAAATGCTTAATGAAAACGGAGACAGGAGATGGAATATCCAGTAAAAGGAACTGCAAGAAAGACGATTATGGCTGGACCTTGGAGCAGGATGTCTTTCCTAAAATCCTAAATATGGCCTTCCTGGAGAAGAGGAACTTGAGACCATTCCCCTGCCTCATTGTGAACACCCTGCTTTTTAAAATACAAAATTATTATGTTTTGTTTTGTGACATATTACCCTATTAACTCTTAATAAACTTGCATTCTACTCCTCCCCCCAAAAAAACCTAAAAAAATAAATTTAAAAAATGTTTATTGAATTGAATTAAACTTATTTAGAAAGACTATATATAAAAAGAACAGAGTATTCAAGAACAGAAAAAGAGGAGGAAGGGAAGGAGAAAAAAGAGGAGGGAGTTTAGAAGGAAGGTGACTTTGGTTATGGGGAAAAATATTATGTTGCCCTCCTGCAGCCACCTCCCTACACCCTCACCTTTGTCCCATGCCACTTCAGACTCTCTCTGCCATCATGTGAGCTTACTGTTGGAGCTTCAGCTCCTCCCTCCCTGTCAATGAAGCCCTAGGGAGATCAGACACCCAGGAGAGAGCTGATCGTGGGATCAGCTGGAAAAGACCTTAAAGATTATTTAGCTCAAAACCCCTCAGTTTACACAGGATGAAACTGAAGCCCAGAGGGGATAAGTGATCTGAGCCTTGCTGCTAACGAACTGTAGAGATCACATTTGAACCCAGGCCCTCTGACTCCCAGTTAAGTGCCCTCCCACCCCAGCTTTTATTTCCAATTTAAATTTAACCACACATATTTGCTGATGAATGGAAGAGCAGAACCTTAATGGAACCATAAGGCACAATTATGAATTAAAAGCATTTGCTGTACGGCTACAGGGCCAGAAATTCTTTGGTTTTTTTTCTTTAAGAACTTCACACGTCATAAAGCCGCTTAAAAGGCCTTCTCTAAGGCACCACATCTGACAGCTTCTTTCCTCTTATACGATTCCTATATTACATTATACCATATGTCCAGTGAGGCAGACTCATGCCCTCAGAAAGAAGTCTCTGGTAATTTATACCTACTCCACCCAGCTTGGCCCATTCCCCTCACCCAGCTTTTCAGCTTGTACTCCCATTCAGGATGAGTCAGCCATGCACCTTCCCAAAGAATTATGTGCATCCCTTGACCTGATGAAAATAAGCAAGGAAGCAAGAAATGAGCCAGGAAAAGGCCCCTGACCAGGGTACAAAAATGAACCAACTCATGGAACAGTTAACATGGGACAGCCACATCATTCAGGGACATCTCACCTACACCGGCTTGGGGAGAGAAGCTGCTCTGGCTCTTCGAAAAGGCTACAAAACTCACCTCAAGATATGCTATCAGCACCAGACCCTTTCTGAAGAATTAGCTGCTATGTACACGAGGAGCTGGAAGCTAGTTAACAAGGACCTTGTGATATACTCAACTCTTTGGACCTGCAGCACGAATGGGCATAATCAGCTACAAATGGGGACCAGAACTGGGAATGCATGGGTACAGAGAAACTCCCTCTACCAATGCAGACTAGCACCTTCTTCGTAACGTATGGTCTTAGGGACACCAACCTACAGTCTGAGACATAAGCCTTGGGCACTGAGAGGCTAATAATAACAATCATAGATAGGCAGCTAGGTGGCACAGTGAATAGAGCACTGGGCTTGGGGTAACGAGGATTCATCTTCACAAATTCAAATACAGCCTCAGATATTTACTAGCTGTGTGATCCTAGGCAAGTGACTTAACCCTGTTTGCCTCAGTTTCCTCATTTGTAAAATGAGCTAGAAAAGAAAATGGCAAAAACACTCTGGCATCTTTGCCAAGAAGTGACTGAAACAACTGAACACATGCCAGGAGCTGTCCTAAGTACTTTACAAATATTATCTCATACATGACTACTATGGATATGTTTGGCATGACTACACATGTATAACCTACATTAAATTTCTTGCCTTCTCAACGTGGGGGAGGGGGTGGAGAGGGAGGAAGGGAGAGAATTTGGAACTCAGAGTTTTAAAAACAAATGTTAAAAATTGTTTTTACATTGGCCTGGAAAATAGATCAAGGAGAGACAATTTAAAAATTATTAGTCTACCTGAAAACCATGATGAAAAAAAAGAGCCTGGACAGTATCTTTCAGAAAATTATCAAGGAAAACTGCCCTGGGGTCCTAGAACCAGAGGGTAAAACAGTCATCAAAAGAATCCACCAACCACCTCCTGAAAGAGATCCCAAGTTGAAAACACCAAGGAATATTGTAGCCAAATTCTAACATTACCAGGTCAAAGAGAAAATGCTGTGAGTACCCAGAAAGAAACAATTTAAATATCATGGAACCACAGTCAGGATTAGCCAGGACCTTGCAGATTCTACATTAAAAGATCATAGGGCATGGAATATGATATTCCATAAAGCAAAGGAGCTTGGATTACCAAGGATCAACTACCCAGCGAAAATTAGCATCATCTTTCAGGGGAGGAGGTGGATATTCAATGAAATAGGGGACTTCCAAACCTTCCTGAGGAAAAGACCGTAGCTCAACAGAAAATTTGATCTTCAAATACAAGACTCAAGAGAGACATAAAAATGAGCACTCTCCCTGGTGAAACCTGTCCATCCAAAGGAGTCAACCAAAGGTGTGAACTCTGAAGGCTTCAGAGCTGCTACCACCAGCAAGGGTTAACAGGTTGAAGGGCAGGATTCCAGGCTAGAGGAGTTGACACCTTCTCTGGGAGACCCTAAAGGGGAGGGTCTACCTCCTATAAAAGCAGAGCATCTTGCCCCTCAAATGCACTGTCTTGAGTAGACCTGAAGTCTTTTTATTTCAGCTGCTGCAGAAAAGAAGCAACTGGAGAGAGAAATGGCTGCTGTTAGGGAAATGCTGCTGGAATGGCAAAGGGAAATCATCTGTAGCATCTGTAGGAACTAATTCTCTGAGCCAGTCACCATTGGAGCTGGAGAGTTGGAACTACAGCTTTTTCCTGGCCTGAATGCAGGCAAGTGTCCCAGGTCAGAGAATTCCCAGCAGTCAGTGGAAGCCTAGCACAGCTGACTGACCTGGGCAGACAGCTCTGCTCCCAGCTTTTGCAGACTACCAAAGGACAGAGCCAGTGTGCCAGGCACAAGCAAGCGCTCAAGCTCTTTAGTGAGGACGACCACACGCCACTCTGTGTGAGATGTTCCCAAAGCCCAGAGCATGGGGCTCACAAGCTCTGTTCCATAGAAGAGGCTGCTCACAATTGCAGGGAGAAGCTCCAGCACATTCGGAGTCACCTGGGGAAACATCTGGAGGAAAATGAGAAACTTTTTGATGAGAAGGAGACACCTGCTGTTGACTGGCACTGGATGATTCACCAATTCCTGATGTTGGAAGAAGCCCGATGTCTTGAAAGGATGGAGGAAGAGGAAAGGGCGAGCCAGGACAGACTATCCCAGCACATGCAAACCCTTTAGGACTTCTGCCTGGTTCTCCAGGAAGCAGGCCACCAACCCAATGTGGACCTGCTACAGGAAGTCAAGCAGCTGCTGGGAAGGAGTCAGTCAGTGTTGTCCCAAAGGGCCAAGGCAGTCACCCCAGAGCTGAGAGAATACCCCATCCCTGGCATGATAGAGATCCTGAGAGGTTTCAGAGTGGACATCACAATGGACCCCATGTCAGCCAGTCCCTGTGTGATTGTTTCTGAGGATCAGAGGAGTGTGGAGGCTGGAGAAGGCTGGCAGGTGGAGACCAGGCACCCTGAGGACCCTGCGCGCCATTATGTCTTTGCTGAGCAGGCCTTTAGCTCAGGTAGACAATACTGGGAGGTGGATGTGACTCAACTCCCTCAGTGGATACTGGGGATCTCTACCCCTCATTTGAGGAGGAAAAGCGGGAGGAACATGGATTCATGTGCCTCTGCGTTCCTGCTTCGATGCGTCAAGAAGGAAGAGGATTACTATTTCCAAGCCTGTCCCAGATCACTGAACCATCGAGTGACAGGCCCAGTGCCCAGGGTTGGGGTGTTCCTGGAATATGCTTCTGGCACCCTTGTGTTTTACAATGTCCTCCAGAGCACCCTCATTTATAAGTTCTACCCCATTCTCTTCACACCCATCTTTTCTCCTGGCCCCCCACTTCCAGGAACAAAGGCTGGTACCATGACTGTCTGTCCAGTGGACTCTCATCTTTGTGCTTGATGCCATTCCTCTCTCTGAACATTTCTCCAGGGAGGAATTCTCAACTCACCACTAGGCTCCCCAGCTGTGGGCCTTCAATTTCCAGCTTTCACCTGCAAGCCTACCTCACAATGCAGAGGCTCCCTGCTCCCCAACTGGAGACTTTTCTTCCACAGCGTAAACTGATTTGAATTTTTTCCAGTCCTATTCCCTTGGAATTTCTGCAAACTCTACTTTGTATTCTATTTGATACAAAATGAAATAAACTTTATTTTTCTCTGTGCTTATAAAAAATTGTTTTTACATGTAACTGGGGAAAAATAAAATACTAAATAAAAAATATTAAAAAAATATTATCTCACTTGATTCTTACAATAACCTTGGGAGGTAAATACCCATTTTACAGTTTACTCTCATTCTATAGTTTACAAACACACAAATACACACATATGTATATTATATGTATGTGTGTATATATATACATATATATATATACACACATATATATTTATTTATTTATCTCCTATCTATCCCTATATCCCATAATGGCTTAACAATGCCACAGAAAACCACAGGCCAAGGGAAAAACACCTAGCAAGGTTTCTCCCAAACTTTAAAAACTTTGCAAAACATGGCACCATCTCCAACCTAGGTTGGCCTCTTGAATGTGATGCCATTTAAATGCTGCCCAGCTAATCTCTGCTTACCTGGAACAATTACTCCAACATAATGTGTATTATCTCCAACAATGCATTTTGAGAAATCTTGGTATCTTTGTCCAAGTCTTGCCATCAAAAAGCAAAGCACAGCTTATAATAACTGGTGGTTGACAGGTTCTGGTCCACTCATATCTTTGCTTTTCTCATCTCTTCAGTGGATCAGATGTGAGGCAACATCTCCAGAATGCACTACATACAACTCATGGTCCTCAGGCAGGACTGGAATCAACTTTTTTTTTTTTTGGAGCTGGGGGGGAGGGGGGAGGCTGGCATCAAACTGGTAATTGTATAGGCCTCAATACTTGTCTGCTTAAACCAGTGCTTGAAAAAAGGGGTGGAGAGGGGGAGGACTGCAAGGATCGCAGCATTTAAACTGGAGAAATAAAAAAGTCAGATAGCTGTAAGGAGTATGAGAAGGGAGTGGGACAGTGTTAGGCCTCTCTGGAAAGAGGAGGGCTGGGCCCTTCCTGGACCTCATCCCATGCCTACTTCAAATTTTTGGTTTCACCTAATGGAGGGACTTTATACTTCAGTTGTCTTTAGAGCAGGGGGTCTGGACCTGGCCTCTGTAGGCTGGTGACTAGTATGCCAGAGGGATCTCTATGACACATAGAAGGTCAAGAACCTTATTTAGATCAAGGTCAACTGGACAGTCATTCAGATTCATGGAACTCTCCTTCTGCTTTGAAACTAGATTACTAAGGGGCAGCTAGGTGACACAGTGGCTAGAGAACCGGCCTTGGAGTCAGGAAGACCTGAGTTCAAATCCAGCCTCAGAGGCTTGACACTTACTAGCTGTGTGACCATGGGCAAGTCACTTAACCCCACTGCCTAGCGAAAAGAAAAGAAAAGAAAAGAAAAGAAAAGAAAAGAAAAGAAAAGAAAAGAAAAGAAAAGAAAAGAAAAGAAACTAGATTACTATGCATTAAGCCCTCTGCCTGGTCAGCTTAGAATTCTCTGCTCCCCTTTCCTAGAACACAGTCAGAAAATGACTGTCAAGATTTGGATCTGGACTTGGATCCATTCCTGCAATTATCTCATCTCTCTTTTCTTTGTAGACTCTCAGGAGTAAGTTGGCCATGGGGTTTATGTAAGAGAGCACCATGACCTATCAGTGGAGGGTCACTGGCTTAGCTGTGCCACATAAAATCACAAACCAAGGAAAAAGCACCTTGTAGGGTGCTTTGAGTTACCAAGCAATCAATGAGTATTTGTTGATTTGGAAAAAAAAGGAAGAAAGGACTACAAAGGAAGAGGGGAAAGAAGGCAAAAAGATAGAAGGAAGAAAGGAAAGAAGGAAGAAAGAAAGAAAAGGAAGACAGAAAGAAGGAAAAGAAAGAAAGAAAAAAGAAGGAAGAAAAGAAGTAAGGAATGAAGGAAAAGAAAGATGGAAGGAAAAAAAGAAAGAAGGAAGAAAGAGAAGGAAGACAGAAAAAAGAAAGAAGGAAGGAAGAAAAGAAGGGAGGGAAAGGAAGAACGGAGGGATGGAGGAAGGAAGGAAGAGAAAAGAGCCAGTTGTGACAGGCATACTTTTTATATCCTGCTGGCAGACCAGTTCAGTGTTTATCTCTCCCTTTCCCAGCCTCCTAGGATTTATGATCTGGCCTCCTTTCAATGATTAACAGCCTATAGGCACAGAAGACACTATTCCACGTCTGGGGGGCAAAAAGAAATATTTCCCGGGCCTGTGTGACCCAGAGGTTGGGAACACCCTTGGGCCTGGGCGGAATCTGTACAGAATCACAAGGAGCAGCTGGCTTCTGGCAAGGAGATAGGGTAGAAAAGGAAACATTGAGCTTACCTTTTGCTGCCAGAGTTCCCATCTCGTACAAAATTAGAACTGTGTTTATTGATAGAATAGTTTGTCAGGTGCATGCATATATCATCCTAGAAAGACAATGAGTTCAGGAAGTCAGAAAGGAAAATTCAATATACTTCAATCCCATTTAGTAATCATTTATTATTATTATTACTGATTGTCATATATTATAGCCCTTGCTGTGTGTCAGACAAAGGACTCTGGGGGTACAGGATACAAAAACTGAAGCAGCTTCTACCTTTGATGAGTTTACATTCTATAGGGGGTAGGGAGGAAGTTTAGAAAATATAAAATATATATTCAAAGGAAATACAAATTTGGAAGGAGGTGGGGAGAAGGATCAGAAGGATCAGAAAGGACCTCAAGTAAGAAAGGGCATTTGAGCTGCTCTCGAAGGCAGCTGGGAACACCAAACAGGCAGAAAAGAGCAAGTAAAAGAGAGCATCGAGGGTACATGGGACAGGTTGTACAAAAGGATGGAGACAGGAGGTGGAATGGAGACTATACAAGGGACAACTGTGTAAAATTCGTCTAGAAACAGAGGTCACAGTCAGATGGTAAAAGGCTTGGATAGCCAACAGAGGAAGCTGAATTTTATATGAGAGGAAACAGGACCCTGAAATATACTAAATGGCATGAGAATGGCATGGTTATCACTGGGCCTTAAAAACATCAATTTGCTATGTGGAGCATGAATTAGAGAAGAGAACTAGAGAGAGGTTATTACTGCAAAGGATGAAAGGCCCAATGGCATGGTTCATTGCACATATTTTCAGACTTTTTCTATGTGTTAATCAGTTTTGTTGATTTTTCCCCCCTCTTCTTTCTTTAAAATATATTTTTTGGGGCTGGCTAGGTGGTACAGCAGATAGAACACCAACCTTGGAGTCAGGAGGACCTGAGTTCAAATCTTGCCTCTGATACTTAGTAGCTAGCTGTCTGACTCTGGGCAAGTCACTTAACCCCTATTGCCTCCAAGATTAAAAAAAAAATGTGTGTGTGTGTGTATGTGTGTGTGTGTGTTATATGTGATGGCTCTCTAGGTGGGGAGAGAAATTGGGGAAAATTTTGATGATGTAAAAAAACAAGATACCTTTTTTTTTTTTAAATAAAGCTATTGGAATACTACAGGGGAGAGATGCTGAGGCCCTGATTTAGGATGATAACTATGTGTATGGAGATGGGTAGTAGAATCAGTAAGACTTGGCAATTGATTGGAGGTGAGAGTGATAAGGGAAGGACAGCTCCAGAGTCTCAGATTTGAGTATCTGGAAGAATGGTGCTACCTTTAATAGACCTAGGAAAGTTAGGAAGAGGAGTGGGTTTAGGGGGGGAAATAATGAGTTCCATTTTACACATAAGGCACTTGAAATGGTTATGGAATAGCCAGGAAGCAGTTGGTAACATAGGACTGAAGCTTGGGAGAGAGGTTAGGGCTTTATATATAGATGTGGGAGATCCTAGGGAAGAGAGGAGAGGGGAGGGGAAGGGAGCAGGGGGGAGAAAAGGGAGAGGAGGGGAAGAGGGGAGAGCAGAGGGGAAAGAAGAGGAGGGGAAGGGAGGGAAAGAGAAGGGAAGGGAAGGGAGAAGAGGGGAAAGAAGAGGGAGGATGGGAGGGGAAGGAAGCAGAGGCGAGAGGAGAGGGAGGGATGGGGAAGGGAGGGGAAAGGAGAAGAGAGAAAAGGGTTTAGGACAGCATTGGAATACACTTACACATAGGGGATGCTGATTGAGCACAGGAGGCTGAGAAGGAGTGGTGCAAGAAAAACCAGGAGAGAGCAGTATCAGGAAAACCCAGGAAAGAGAAAGGAGGAGGAAAGATGTGACCAATAGTGTCAAATGAGGCAGAGGCGTCAGGAAGGATGAGGACTGAGAAAAAAGGTTGTGATTCAGCAGTGAAGAGATCACTGGTAACCTTGAAGCAACAGTTTTGGTTGATGGTGGGGGTCAGAAGCCAGATTACAGGGTGAAGAAATGTAATCAAGGAGTGCTGGTAACCCTTTGCATGCACTTGGTGATGAAAGGGAAGGGAGCTACAGTGTGGCAGCATAGGGTAGTGTTGTATAATGGTTAGGGCACTGGACCTGGTGTCAAGAAGACCCAAGTTCAAATCCTGACCTCCTCAGACACTTTGTAGCTGTGGGACCCTGAACAAGTCCCTTAACCTCCCTAGGCCTCAGTTTCCTCACCTGTAAAATTGAAGATCCTCTAAGGTCCCTCCCAACTCTAAATCTATGATGCCTGGATGTCAGTTTGAGGGAACCGTGGGGGATTACCTTCTGTCCTTTTATTTCACTTTTTCTTTTAGCTCTTGGTGATTAAAGAGAGATACAGAGGAAGGGGGAATAGATTTAGTTGGAGAAATTAATAAAATCAAAGGAAATTAAGAGCTTGGAGTTTGGTTTAAAAAAATAAAAAAGAAATGGTATTAGCTTTATATCCTACTGAAGTGAAGAGGGACGGACAGTGAAAGGGAAGTCCTAGTGTACTCCCTTGCCTCCAGGATGGCCTCCACCCAAAGGCTGTATGGGATGGACCAGGGGTGGAGAACCCATGACCTCAAAGGTCTTCAAGTGCAGCCCTTTGACTGAATCCAGGGGTGGACTCTCCCTGGGACTGTACGCTGGAACCTTTAGGCAGAAGGTGCTAAATTAACACAGCAGGTAGGGAAAGACAGATTTGAATTGGGTCATCTTTCAATGGGCCGACCTTGTATTTGAGCTTATGCCTGACACGAACAGTTGGACAGGATGCAGTGCCCTTACTCACCAAGTTTTCTGAAGAAGGGTTAGAATAAGAGGTGGTGGCAAACCGAGCTAGGCCCTCCTTGTAGACAAAGATCCTGAGCGGATCGCAGGAGGTCACTAACACATAAATGCGAAGGTCAAACTTGAAGCCATCAATAATAAAAGGCTAAAGGAGAGAAGAAAACAGAAACCAGACAGGTGACTTGGGAGAAACTGAAGTTCACCGCTGCCTTCCTCTCAGGCCCATTCTTGGAGATGGACCAGGGCTGGTGGACGTCAGATGACCAAAGCTTTGCTCCTAACTTCTCGGGTGAATCTGGACAAGGCACCCAAGCTCAACGTTTGTTAGGGTGTCTGTCTCAAATGGTGTGCCTACCCCTCTCACAAAGATGTTTGAGACTACGCTGAGCAGAGGAGACCTTTGGGGGAAAATATCTGTGTACAAATACAAGATGCCATCACTCTTCAGCACTATTTCCCTCTGGAATGTACTGTAAAAAGACGTGAAGGAAAGAAAAACTGTCTAATTCTTTAACCCAGGGATTCTACTGCTAGGATTATATCCTAGTAAAATGCTTGAAGATAAAAATGTTCACGGCAGCATTATCTGGAGATAATAAAAAGCTAGAGACAGATTATATGTCCAAAGGCAGACCTGAATTCAAATCTCCCCTCCGATGTTTGACCACTGTGTGACCCTGGACAAATCACTTAACCTCAAAAAAAATTGTTTTTTAATCATTTAACCTCTCTCAGCCTCAGTGCCTCATCTGTAGAATGGGAGAACTGGACTAATTTGGCCTCTCAGGTGCCTTCAAGCTATAAAGCTATGATATCTCATGACTGGGAATTAACAGATTATGATAATATGATGGAATATCACTGTACTATAAAAATGACAAATATGAAAAAAAATTAGTGAAATGTGGGAAGACAACTTTGTATAAAGTGAAGACAACAGAGATGAAAGAATAATATGCACAATGGCTACAACAATGTAAATAAGATTGACGTGAAGAGTCAACACAGCTCTGGAGAAGTACAATGGTCAATGCTAGTCTGAAGGAAGGAGACTGACAAAATTAAAGGCTATGGTCCTCACAGTCCCCCTTTGCATCCTGACGACTTGGACTTGAATCCCAGGTCTGCCATTTGCTCACAATCTGACCTTGGGCAGATTTACTTTGCCTCTGTGGGCCTCGATATCCCCATCTGGAAAATGATGGGGTGGTACAACATGGCCTCTCAGGTCCCTCCCAGCTCTAAATCTAGGCTCCTAGCCAATGCCCAGAGGGGCCGCTAGGTGGCACCACAGTGCACAGAACACTGGGCCTGGAATCAGGAGGACCTGAGTTCAGGGGTGACCTTAGACACTTAGTAGCTGTGTGACCCTGGGCCAGTCACTTCACCCTGTTTGCCTCAGTTCAGTCATCTGTAAAAAATGAGCTGGAGAAGGAAATGGCAAACCACATCAGCACCTCTGCCAAGAAAACTCCAAATGGGGTCACAAAGAATCTGACACAACTGCAAATGACTGAACATTATCCATTCTGTTAACAATTGATAAACTGCTCTTTGGATAACATACTTTGTAAAGCAGTGTGTTTAGGTGAATGCTGGGCAATGTCTAACGTTTCAAAACAAAACATATCAATGATTTCCTTTTTAAAAAAGAAAAAAATGTCTACTGGCCATTCCTATTGAGAAAAATACAATTCTCCCACTCCTATGTGATTTTATGCCACTCTCAGATGCATGATCTGGGAAGCTAGGTATTCTTCAGTGGGATTCTCATCCTCAGCCTGACAAGAGACAAGAGAATTACTGAAAAGAAGAGAAAAGAAATTCTCTCACTAGGTGGCACAGTGGTTAATGACTCTCAGATCTATGAACTGGGGAGCTAGGTATTCTTCGGTGGGATTCTCATCCTCAGCCTGACAAGAGACAAGAGAATTACTGAAAACAAGAGAAAAGAAATTCTCTTACTACTTGGCACAGTGGTTAATGACTCAGAAAGACTGGTCCTGCTAATCCTTAATCCTGCTAAGACACTCACTAATTTCTGTGGCCCCAGGTAAAATACATAACCTTTTTGGGCCTCCATTTCCTAGATGGTAAAATCAGAGGGTTAGAGTCAAAGACCTCCAAGGTCCCTCTCAACTCTAAATTCTTGATCCTGTGAACTGTCTCTTTTGCCCCAGTTTGTCAGTGTGGGATAGCTCAGTCTGACAGTGAGTGTCATGTATATAAGGGAGATTCCAGGCTCTGACTCAGGCACACGTGAGCATCCTCGGTTCACTGAACAGATGGATGCCCCTAAAGCAGGCTCTCGGTCTTCTTCCACACATCGCACAGCAGAAATCAAACAATAAGGACGCAACAATTATAAATAACCAGTTTTTTTTAAAAAAATTACCTTTGATATATAGAGCTGGCAGATCATATCTTCTCCTGGCTTGATATCTTTCACAGACCGCGTAACAAATATGCCTTTCCCTTGGCAGCCAGAGTCCGGCTTACAGATAAATGTCTTAAATTTTTTTGACCTGCTATAGTTCTGCAAATCACCCCAACTACCAAGGTGAGTAGAGAGGAAATATGAAATGAGAAGTATATTAGCTGGTGATACAGCTCAAACTAAGGCCAACTCTTTATTAAAAATAAAACAGATTAAAACTGTGGAAGGCAATGGCTTTGATAAGATAATAATCATAATAAAGTGATCACTAACATTTATATAGCACTTAAAGGTTTGCAAAATGCTTGAGATCTGTTATAAATTTTTTCCCTCCTCTTAAGCAAGCAGGAAAGGCTCCTGGGTTTAGAATTAATAATAGCTGGCTTTTGTTAAGCACTTACTGGGCAGCGAGGTGGCACAGTTGATAGCAGGCCAGGCCTGGAGTCAGGAAGACTCATCTTCGAATCTGGCCTCAAACAATGACTAGCTGTGTGACCCTGGGCAAGTCACTTCACCCTGTTTGCCTTGGTTGGCGGCTGTATAACACAGCCCCTAAGGCCCCTTCCAACTCTAAATCTAGGACCCTACAATCCAATGCCCATAGGGTCACTAATAGCGCCATGGTGTACAGAATGCTGGGCCTGGAATCAGGAGGACCTGCATTCCAGTGTGACCTTAGACACTTACTGTGTGACCCTGGGCAAGTCACTTAACCCTGTTGGCCTCAGTTTCCTCATCTGTAAAATGAGCTGGAAAAAGAAATGGCAAACCATTCCAGTATCTTTGCCAAGAAAAGCCCAAATGGGGTCGCAGAGATTGGGCATGACTGAAACAACTCAAGCACAACTCAAATTAAACAGGCCTTCTTGTTGTTCCTCACATGCAGTATTCCATCTCTGATCTGTCTGTCTCCTTGCCTCTGCCTCTTGGAATCCTGGGTTTCCTTCAAGACTCAGCCTTCAGGAGGCCTTTCCTAGTCCCTCCAGTAGCTGGTGCCTCCCCCACTAACATTACCTTGTCTCTGTTTTGCATGGTTTTTGTATGTAGCCATATACTTGCAAGTTGTGTCCACCATTGGAATATTAGCCCTTCGAGGGCGGGGAATGGTTCTTTCTTGTCTTTGTGTCTCCACAGCCCAGCACAGCGCATCGTACCTGGTAGGTGCTTAATAAACGCTCACTAACTGACACTTCTTACTAACATTGATTGACTGATAAAAGAGAAAGAAAAGCTTGGAAGACCAAAGTAGGAGAGAAAGCACAAGGAGACACTTACTCTGCCGGAAGACACCACGTTTTGGGGAAAAAATGGAATTCTTTAGGGAAAAGCTTTATCATACGACTCATATTCCTGGCCAGCAGGTCCTTTCGGCAGATTTCACTCATTCCAGGGAAGTGGTTGATCTTCTGCAAAGAAAGCTAGAAGGCATGAGCTCCAACCTCACCTCCGAGAAGGAAATGAAAACTCCCCCACGCAAGGAACCAGTGTTCACAGTGCTCGGGCTCAGGGCCAGATTCCCCCTGCTCCCCGGAGCAGATGCTCCCCCCACACTGGGGACTGATTCGGGCTCCAGTACCTGGTAATTCTTCATTTCCATTACTCGATCTAGGGAAACTGAGAAGTCTGTCCAGTAAAGGGTCCAGTCATCGTGGTCTCCTCCCTCACGCAAGCCATAAAGTCTGGCTGCCCGACGAACTGCATCACAGATACAGAAATGAGAGCACATCAGACCATGAAGCAGAATAAGAGAAGACCTACCTGGTGTCAAGCAAGCCAGGCACTGTCTGCTCTTTTTTTTCTTTGTCTTTTCTTTTTTTTTTTTTAGGCAATCGGGATTAAGAGACTTGTCCAGGATCACACAGCTAATGTCTAAGGCCAAATTTGAACTCAGCTCCTGACTCTAGGGCCGGTGTTCTACCCATTGCACCATCTATCTGTACCTTGTGCTCTCTGTTTCTTACAGCCACCCTCTCTCCCCTTGCCTGAGGCTGGTACCACCACTGATGGCAAATGGGATGGGTACAAAATATTGAAGAACACAGCATGCGTGGCTTATCTGTGGCAAACCTCACTCTAAATTCATGGCTTATCTTTGCTACAGAGAACAAACTGAACAGTTTCTAAATACTGTTTACTGAATACTCAGAGCACACAAATTAATTGTAGCACAGTGGAATAGGCCTTGGACTTGGTGTCAAGAGGACCTGGGTTCTAATCCTGACTCTGCCACAAAGCATCTGCATGACATTGGGCAAATCATTTAACATCTTTGGACCTCAGTTTCCTCACTTGTAAAATAAAGGGATTGGACTAGATGATCTCTAAGTCCCTTCTGGATTGAGATTTATGATCCTAAGTCTGAAAAAAACTTAATTAGGATGGCAAAATGTCTGGGGGAAAAAAGATTACCGTATGCTTTATTACAGAATATTGTTAATTTTCAGAATGTCCACTGTTTTCAGATTAGCTGTACTTGCTGCTAATCTACAGAGAGTGCTATAAAAAGGCAAAGGCAAAAAAACTGTTGAATGGGACATGCAAGGGTGACAGATGTCTCCCCTCTCCCTTCATGGTCATGACCTCACACCACATATGCCTCAAAGCTGCTGTTACAGCTGACATGTCAGCTGGAGGTATAAGGTATGTAGAAGTTGTGTATTCTTGGCCTCCCTTGTTGGAAACCAGGCATCTTGGGAGACCAGATTTCCAGTCCCCTGGATATTTAGCCTAGACAATGAGAAGGGAGGCAGCTAGGTGGTGCAGTGGATACTGTTCAAATCTGGCTTCAGACGCTCACTAGCAGGGTGGACAGGTCACTTAACTATTCGCTTCAATTTTCTCATACATAAAAATGAACTGGAGAAGGAAATGGCAAACCACTCCAGTGTCTTTGCCAAGAAAACCCCATATGGGGTCACAAAGAGTTAGACACGACTTCCTTGTATCCTTCAGGATGAATGAAAATGCAATCTTGCCCTTCCAAGGAATTCAGTGGCTCACCAACCAAACTTTGTTCCCCAGACACAAAATGCTCACCACTATCGTATCGGCAACTAGACAGATTGATCACCCATCATCTGGAAAAGAGAAGAAAGAAAGCAGCAAGACAGAGACAGAGAAACCAAAAAGGACCACGAGATGGCAAGACCCACAAATCAGTGAGCAGTATCAGAAAATATTCCATCCATGGCTGGGAGGGAGGGGGTCCTTCAAACCTGAGTTTTCAGGGCTACTTGATTCCTTACTGTACTGAAACTAGTTTCCCCAGTTTCCACTGCAGGATATTCCACAGGTCCAATGGAGACACGGCTGTTATCAGAATATGTACCATAAAGGTATATGATCTATCAGGCGGAAATTTTTATTACACCTGTGGCAAATCTTGTCTCTATTACCGAAGTGCTATTTCTCTTATATCTATAGAAAGATAGCGGGGGGAAAAGAAAGGTAAGAGCTAGAATTAAAGATCTTTTTAAAAATATAATTCATTGCCTCCCTTTTCGCCCCACATCCCCAAAGGAAGGAGGCGTCAGAAAGAGTCCAAGGGCTCCGCTGCCAAATGGAGGAGGAGGCACAGGACAGCACACATCAGATTCAGTAACTCAGATCATCAGAGCACACCTTTGTTATTTTATTCAAAATGGTAGGAATTCCCAGCATGAGAGACAACATTTATTTGCAAGAAATTACAAAAGAAAAAAAAAGCCATGTTCTAACACTGAATAGAAATAGTTGTGGGGTTAGCTACCTTTTAGATTATCTATGCCAGAGACGTCAAACACTGCCTGGAGAATAGCAGGAACCAGTTTAAAATGTAATTGGGAAATATTTAACAAATAAATAATAATACCAAAGAACGTAGATAATGTTAATATGTGGTTTTCTATGTGAATAGGCCTCCACAGGGAGCCAGTCCAGTGGCTCCCCGTTTCTAGTTGAGTTTGACCCCACTGCCTTCATTAAAGCAGATAATGGAGAGGCTTTTACATAAAACTTGTCTCCTATCAATCCCCTCTCTTTCTGCATCCTCCCTCTTTATAGCAGGCAGCTCTCCCCAGGCTCTAAGCTCCATGGGGCGCATCTCCTTTTCTGAGGTTCTTGTCTCCTCAGTCCACCCTCCCCACTCCCACTTTCCATCCTCCATTTCTAACCTCCTTCTCTTCTTCTTCTTCTTGTTCTGATGCTGAGAAGAACACTTCTGCAAGGATACCCCAGGATCTTTCTCAACAAAAGCCAGGGTAATGTGCCTTCTTGCTTCTCCCTCTACAGAGATGTCCTCCCTCTCATTGGACTCTCCCAGTTCCACTTCTTCCAAGGCCAGGAACTGTGACATCTCTGGGGATGGAGTTCTGGGAAAAGAACAAAAGTGGGGATACTGGACAAGTGGAGAGCAGTTACATGAACCCACCTCCAGAGGGACCCCCTTCCTCGTTCATTTAGATGGCAAGAGCATCCCCAACACCAGAGTGAGAGGTTAATGTTGCAAGATCTCCAGCACTCTGCTGGTGCAGGCTCAAAATGGGGACCGATTCCTCCTTTCGTTGCTAGCTGTATGACCCTAGGGAGTCAGCCAACCAACCCCAGGCCTGGCTCTTCTCTCCTGTGACCCTGCAGAGTAGGCTGAAACCTTCCGATGCATGGTGGCAACAGGTAAACAAGCTCTCCCTACTAGGCAGAGACTGTGCCAGGTTGGATACTGCAACACAGGAGGCAAGTTCTGTGCCCTGCCAGGTGAGGCAGTTATTCCCAGAGTGTACAATTAGGTGCTCCGAGGAAATCTGTTAACTTTTTAAAGCCCCAAAGAGACCACTAAGAGAGTGAGTAGGGTGCTGGCTTGAAAGTTAATGCTACCTAGTGGCATGGAACCTACCCCAATAGGATCTATGATAAAGTTATTATTCATTCTTACTTCATTCACCTCTAAAACTCCTAGCATATCTCCCTAAGCTTTGCTTTCGAGTCCTTGTGGTAGAATTTAGACTCCAAAATTAAAAAAAAAAAGAATGTTAACATTGTTTTTACATGTAATTAGGAAAAAATTAAATATTAAATTATAGAGTCCTTGTGGTGAGTCAAACTGACTTTTTTTTAACTACTTTTTTTTTTGTGAGGCAGTTGGGGTTATGTGACTTGCCCAGAGCCACACAGCTAGTGAGTGTTATGTGTCTGAGTCCAGATTTGAACTCAGGTCCTCCTGACTCCAAGGCTGGTGCTCTATCCACTGTACCACCTGGCTATATCTGACAATTTCCTGCTACCAGGCCTTGGTCTCCCTGCTCCCAAATCTTTGGACAGATTATCCTACAACTACAAACTCCCACCAAATACCTGAATCTCACCTTCCTCCCCTGCCTCCACCCCCACCCAACACACACCACTTTTATTACAGTTCTGAGCCCGATCCAAAGAGCAATCCTAGGTCAGCCCCATCCATTCCCTAACGAGCCAACACAATCTCCAACCTTTGTCTCTCTCAGACAACTTAGAAAACATTAGTTATGTATTTCAGCTAATCCCAAGCTGGTTTGCCTTGTGTTCCCAATCATATGTGAGTTCTTTGACAGAGGATCTGCGTCTGTTCTTCAGATGCATCCCAAGTACAGCATGTAACTTACTCAGCAGTATTTATACCCTTTGTCTTCTCCGGGGCCTGCACTAGGCTTCTTACATTATTAAGCCCAGGGGCAGGTTTAAAATCCAGGCTCCCTCACCAATCCCTCACCATTCTCCTTACCTTTCTACTCAAACTCTCTAGATCCAATCTAATCCCTCCTCCACCTCTCTTCTCAGCATCCTAGTATATACTCTGGCCCCTAACGCCATTTACCTCACTGTATACTTACCCCCTTTCTTCTTCCAGGATGGACTCTCTCAGATCAATGATGAGAGCCCCTTTTATATTCCCTTCCCTGCTCACCCACCTGCATTAGCAGATTTTATTAATAATCCCTTACATTTGTATAGTGTTTTATACCCATTTTCATATAGATTGTCTGTCTTACTTGATAAATTAATTCAATAAACATTGATTTATTAACCACTCTCACATGCCAAGCAAAATGCAAGATCAGAGATTTGAAGCTGGAGGGGCTCTTAGAGGTCATCAAATCCAACCCTCTCGTTTTTTTACAGATGCAGAAAATGAGGCCCAGGGAAGTCAAATGATTTGGCCAAGGACACTCAGGTAGTAAATGGCAGACCCAGGATTTGAACCCAGGGCAGTGGACTCCAGGTCCAGGACACTGATTCTGGAGGTGCCCAAAGGAGGCAAAGTTGAAAAAAGACAGAGTCTGTGGTCTCATGAAGTCTCACTTTGTCTAACAGCTTCCTCACAATAACCTTGTGATGGAAAGTAGGAATGAAAGAAGCCAGATTGGATTTTCTGTTAGAACACAAAACTGTTGTGGATGAGGGCTGTTACCTGTACCAAAAACAGCTTAGACGGCCTTATCTATTCCAACCAGAAAAGCAACTTGGGCCAATAAACTAACAGATGAAACCTAAATCCCACAGGCCACAGGACCATATGATCCTATGATCCCAGATTTAGAAGTGGAAAATTCCCCTCTTCCTATCCCCTCATGTCACAAATATGGAAACTGAGGCCCAGAGAGCTTAAATGATTTGCCGAAGCCACACTAGTGGTGACAGAGATGGATAAACCAGGTCATCTACTTCTATAGCCAGTACTCAGGTCCTCTTTATGACCAGGTAAATTCTGAGTCACATTCAAAAAGAAGTGAAGGATAAGAAATCTTTACCTTGCCTTACTTTCTCGGAGAGATACCTTGAGCTCTGCTCTCAGTGCAAGGAGCTGGTATTTACTGAGCTGAGGAGAGGCTCTGTTTACCTAAAGGTTAATGCTAACCTGAGGTAAGGAAACTGACCCTCATGCCAGCCTCTTCAATTTGGGATGGGCTCTGTTCCCTCTCCCTCTCTAGTCCTTGCCTAAGTGGACAGGTGTCAAGAGAAAAGAAAAGGAAAAAAAAAGTCAAGCTTCTATCACCTGTAAGCTTCCTTCCTCTTTCTATCTCTCTACTATCCTCTTCTATTATTTCCATCTCTTTTATTTTTTTCCCTTCCCATTCTCGCCTGTATCACTGGCCTTTCTTTGGCTTCCATAGATACACAGAGAATTCAGTCTCACTGATGGCACTATTGGATAAACCTGCTGCTAGAATCCACCTTGGGCTTACAGAAGGATCTCAAGAGATTACCTGGCACAACTTGAGGTTAAAAAAGAATTTTCTTTCCTCTTGTCAGTTCAATAAGAATTCACTTAACATCTACTAGTCGCCAGACGCTGGGATTCAAAGCCACAAATGAGGCTGAACAAAGATGCGCTCCTACCTCTTCTTATCTAACGAAACAAGTTACCTTGGTCCTGCCCAAGAGAATCATAGACTGAGAACTGGGAGTAACCTCAGAAATCACCTAGTGCATACCACCCTCCCATTTTATAGATGAGGAAATAGGCCCAAGAGCGGGGAAGCTGTCCAAGATCACATAGCTAGTAAGGGGCAGAGCCATGATCCAAATGAAGAGTGTGTGACTCTCAATCCATTGCTCTTTGGACTCTGACCTACAGCCTCCCTGCCTGCCTAAAGTTAGGATGCCTCTTGTGCCTTATTATCCTGCTTTATATTCATTCATTCAACAAACACTTATTAAGAGTCTACGAGGCACAATGCAATGATAAATCAGGCTTTCAGTCAATTGGGAAAGACAGGTACCACCAGTAAATATAATACAAATTGGAATATAAAGGCAGAGGGGTAAAATTGTTTATTGCCCCCTTCCCCTGCTACTATTAACATCAGAACCATTCCTAAGGAGGTAAGTAAATCCCACTATATGCCCCCATCACCATCACCATGTACATTTTTATTCAGGTGGAATCTGGTCCAAAAGAGTAGCCTGATGGGGAAAAGAGGAAGAGACATCACAAGAGGGCAATATGATTGGTGGCAGGGATGGCATATGGGAAAGGAGCATGAGGAGATGAAGACTTGTCTTGTTAACTATTTTAATAGCCTTCTACGTGATTTCTCTCTTCTCCATTCTCTATACCACACTTTGTTGCCAAACTGATATTCTTAAAGCAGCAGGTCTGAGCGTGTCATTCTCCACCCTCACCCCCACTCAAAAAATGTTTCCGTGGTTTCCTATTGCCAAACAAACCTACTTGCTCATGCCACAACATTCCATCTCTCCACTCAGGACTGCCCGCAAGGCTGGAATGCTCTCCCTCTTCCTCTTGGCCTGACCAAATCCCTAATTTCCTCCAAAGTTCAGCTCAAGAGCCACCTACTTAAAACAAGGAGCCTTTCCCAATTCCCATCCACCTACTGGTAGTCAGCGCTCCTCTCCTCACTGAAGTTACTTCAGCTACATTTTGCATGTGCACATGTATGCATATGTAAACTTCATATACATTATCTGTGTACATGTTGTGGGGCTCCCAATGAAAGGACTACACTGATTTTTGTCTTTGTATCTATCCCTAGTGCCTAGCATTATGGTTAGAACTTAATAAATGCTTGCTGAATTGAATAGATTTGATCATATCACTGCCTCTCATCCAAAATCTTCAGTGGCTACCCATTGTCTTAGTAGGGGAAAAACCAATTCCTTGGCCTAACTGATAACCAAGGTCCTCGATTATGTTGCTCCTACCCGCCATTCTCAACTAGCTTCATTCGGCTTGCTTTGAGTACTTTCATTCAACCCAAGTGGAAGACTCTCAGTGGCTGGATCTTATTCTGACTTCTCCTACCTCTATGCATTTGCATACCCTGCTCAAGTGCCTGAACCTCTTAGGTAGGACAACAAAAAGTCCCTGCCCAAGCATCACTTAAGGGCTATTTTTTGGGCCCTCCTGGCTCAGAGTGAATGTAAATAGTACCTGTTTCTCTTTTGGCCACCAACCTGAGGGTCTTCCCCTCCCAGTTTGATTTTTTTTTTTTATTAAAGGGGCCATCCTATAACTCACTTCTTAAAGAGGGCTATTCATTGAATGGGCATTGCCTCACTGAAAGTGAGAACTGAAAAGACCTTAGCTTAAAAGGGACAGGGTCTTCCACTGCATCCTGAACATCTCCAGTGGTCCTGATGAATATCTGGCCACTGGACCTAGATGGATGGCTCTGGAGGAGAAAGTAAGGGGGGGTGACCTTGCACAGCCCTCAATCACTCAAAACAAAGTCAATTGCAAGGCATGTCATCACCTCCCTGATGTCATGGTCCTCTTGAAGAACAAAGGACAAAGGGAGTAGCTAGATGGCGCAATGGATAGAGCTCTGGCCTTGGAATCAAAAAGACCTGAGTTCACATCTCAGACCAGCCACTT